TAAGTATACATATTTATTTAAGGTTTGGAATATAGACATATTGTTTATGCTTTTAATTGTTTATTTAGATATTGCCTATTATTATTAAATAATGTATTTATGTATTTATTATGTAAGCTCGCCGTTGAATAATTGTTTTTGTCCAACCGTCGGGTAGTCAGTAGTCACTAGTCAGTCGTTCTCTTCCACGCCGCGATCGACATTCCGCTGTTACGTGCTTACGTCATACACAACTTGCGGTCGGTCACACCTATAATACCACCCCACCACCCACACAACTAACAAGTAGGTGACGACGAGTGACGGCTATATAACGACAACGCTCATAATATTAATGCGGTATGCGCGGTGACTACGAGCGTAGGTAGGTATCCGATATTTGCATAACCGCATAATATTATCGCACAATTTTGTCGTTACATGTTGATATTATGAATCGAGTTTAATAATAAATTCACTAGCGCGTTACATAATTACGTTCGCGCACCAAGCACGCGTGAAATAAGCGGCCCTCGAAACGGAACGTTTTCCGGACCGCCTTAAATTATTATTGTATTACTATCTACTGGTACCTGTATGGCTGTATGTGTACCTAATATTGTAATATTATGTTATATTTTATTTATATGATATTAAGTATAGGTAGTAGGTACCCGAATGGACGTTAATATGGTGTCATTACATTTATTTCTTACCTAGGTACCTATTTATAATATGTATATTGTGTAATATAGGTATTATAATGTAGATGGTTAATGAATGAACCATACCTAATGAAGGACTATAATATCATATTATTATATTTTTTTTTTTTTTTTTTTTATTAGATAAAATAGAATATTTACAATCTGTAATTTTATATATACAATGAGTAAATTTGGTAATGAAAGAATACAACAACATGAATGGCTTGAGGAGGGAGGCCCACCAGTGTGGATACCCTCTAGCTTGGGGGATTATTATATTTATTATTATATTGTATTGCCTTCAGTTTTGCAAGAAAAAACTGCTTTGGGTTAGGTCCCGTTCTATCTAAAATTCTGAATCAGTTCAATGAACAATCCATTGCCTGTAAAATATTATACTAGGTAACTAAACTGAGTGATTTTTATAATTTAAATCAATACACATTCAAGTTAAAGATGTAATAATTAATAGATAATAATGTTTAAATATATATGTTTATTTATTTATAAATAATTTAACGGACCTAAGTTCTGTAAAATAATATATAAAATGAATATTAAAAAAAGAAACAAAAATAGATAAATAATTATTACAACCACTTAATTGACAAAAATACATAGGTATACATATAGGAACCTATATGAAGTAAACATTTTTTTAAAAAATAAATTTTTGCTCATACTAACATATTGCATGGCCGCCAATGGCCAATGCAGAATGCTATAATATACTATATATTACTATTATGGAAGGTTTCCACACAGGTGGGTCTCTCTCCTCACGTTTTTCATATTGTTGTATATTTTAAACTATACCAAATTTACTTAGGTACCTATTGTATAAAATATACTTTTGTTTTCAAAAAAAAATTAAAAAATATTACATAAGCATATAAATAAATAATACTTACCTATTGTATAAATATTAAAATATTATGATTTAGTTTCATTGATATTCCGAATTATTACGTTAATAAAATAGCTCATATAAATAGGTATGTATAATATAATTTTTATTTTACGTCTTAATAAAATTATACATCTGTACTTTACAATGAAATTTTCAAAATATTTATACAATATTAAGCTATTATTATTGGGTTTTGAAAATTTGAAATTATCGAATTTTTTCAATAACGTATTCATGATCATTTTTGTTTGGTAAATGTTTTTAAATATTGAGGATAAAAAAATGATAGTTGAAAAGATTTTGAATCATTGGAGTTCTCATCTATGATTTGACACGTTAGTACGTTACGTCTCATTACTAAATTACAGTTATATTATATACATTTATATCAGTATATCACACGTTGTATAACTATTAACTATCAATAGGTCCTCAATAGAAAACCAAGTCACAAAAAAAATAAAAGAATATTAGATAAGACATGAAAAACATTGGGGGGAGCTAATTTAATATTTGAGGAGGGGCTTAACCAGGGAGATCCCATGCTCCCATTGGTTCCAACTATTCCTTTACGAGATTTTACACAAAAATTTAAATTATATTGAATATTTATAAGGTTTCACATTAATTTCATTCAAATTGTATACTTAAGTACCTATATAAAAGTGTTAATACTATGTTATTACTTAATATATTTCGTTACTTTCTTTTTGCACTGTGTTTTTTGTACTTTATACTTATTTTATAATAATATATTAATATATTATGTTAATAAATAATAGTGCGTCAGTGCATCACAATAATAATTAAAACTAAAAACATCATAAAAATGTTCCCCTTTTTTTCACAACACCAAGCGGTAATCACTAATCCTTATTCACCATAATTAACATAATTTAAGTTATAACACGAAACTATTATTTATTATGTGACAACGAGAAAATACAAAATTGCACGTATATAACAGTGTTCCGCGAAACTAAACTATAGGTAGGTACTTAATTTATTATAGGTATATTGCTGCCTACCTATTAGTTTCACAGAGTTTTACTACAATAATGTTTTTTCCACCTACGTTTTTTATATTAATTAAAATAAATATTGCTCTAGTACTTGCACAAGGAATTAAGAATAACATTGCAAAGATTGTGTAAGATCTTGTTTACCATCAATACCTATACAGTATACCGGCTATACCATAAGGCCATAATACCCACGCAGAGTGCAGCTGGCTATCTGATACTACTATCCAAGTATCGGACTATGCCAATAATCAATATTATTGTTTAGTATTGGAAATGATGTATCGTCTAGCACTAGCTAATAGCTATAGTATATTATGGATACTACCTATATAAAATATATAATGTGTAGAGTGTAGATACGATATGGGTACGTCGTTGGTAGTAGGTAGTATATAGGCATCATAACAGCTGGTCTACGGATGGTCCTCTAGAATATTTAGACTTTTCTACAATATTTATTTATTTATTATTAATTAACGCCTGTTAGGGAAATATTCTGCATATTTTAATAATATGAAATTGGTCATTTTAAGTTATATGTCAACTATTTTTGTTAAAAATAAAGTTTAAAGTACCTATATACTTTTAAATTTACTTTAGTTCGATTGTTGACTGTTGTACAATTATTTGGTATGATTGTATGAATGTATGTATCATTCATAGGCGTAACTAGACCTCTAAAACACGGGACGCTATAATATTTCATATTTTAAAAACATAAGTTTGATGGTATGTTACTATAATAATATGATAGTTAAACCTAAAAAAACAAGGGGTGCTAAATTAGAACTTGAGGGTGCTAAAGACCCTTTTACACCCCCCTAGTTGCGCCAATGGGTATGATACTAAGTAACATATACGGTCGTCGGTCATTATATTATATTTGAATATTTCTACAATTTCAAATATTAAATATTATTATTATTATTTGTATAATGTATACAATAATTATTCAATTATTCAATTATTGTATAAAATAACACTAAGAAAACTATAAATTATAATATCAATTATTTAAAAACATGAAGAATCTAAAATATTTTGTTTTTCATTTAAACATATTTTATAATTATGAATCAAATACCTACCTACTGTATTATGTATAATATGTATATTTTGCAACATTTGTTAAGATTTAATATATTTTATCGAGTAAAATAACAATATTTATTTTGTTTTAAAGACGCAGTTACGTAGATGTTACGTTTATAAATGTAATATAACCACAAGGTTAACCGCCGGAGGTACCTAAACAACATTGTTCAATATATCCATAATAGTCAATCAATTAATTGTAAGGATTTATAATTATTGAACGTTGGCCAAAAAATCGATGAAATTCGTATAGTTTTAGGTTTTATAAATAAGAAGGATTAATAAAATTCCCCAGTGGCCCAGACAGAAAAATATTATTTTTATCATATTTTGAATAAAATATTATTTTAGCATAAATATTTTAAAAATACAAACATCACCTTTAATATTGTATTCTAGAAGTTACCTGATTGTGAAGTCAATATTGACAATATTGTATTATAGTATTTATTTCATAAAGTATTGAATGGCTCAAAAATATCAATTATAATATTAAAATAATCATAACGAAATATCGATGGCTTACCGGTAAACGATATAATATTTTTAATTCGGCGTCGGACTTGTGTCGTTGTCGGGGGCGGTGCAGGTGGCACACGCCCGTTCGTTAACACCAAACCGTAATAACCTTTCTAATAACAATAAAAAATTCCACCAGAGTAAACACTGACCGCGACCGCCGCCACCGACATCACTACCGTCTACCAGTTACCACCGCCGCAACCATCGCCGTAGGTTCGTCTGTTTCTTTTGCGTTCGCCTATACAATTTTTCCTGTTTTTTTTTTAAATTTTTATCATAATTTAAACTTTTGTCGTGTGTGAATACTGTGAATGTGCGGTCGTCCGACATCCAAACGCAAGACACAACTGCAGCTGCTCTTGAGTAGTATATTATTAAAACCGTCAACGTCGTCGTTTCGGGAAATTCGTTTCCGAAAGAATTATACCCCGTAAGTGGCATTAATTATTGTTTGAGACTTACGTACGTCTATAACCTATCGCCCAAAGTCATTACGAGATTTTCGTCAACCCTCGAAACGTTCTAATTTTCATTTTACTCGCGTTTTCGTTTGCCGAATCCGTGTCCGTACTTTACGATCGTTTGTGTGGGTTAGTGTGTCCGTACTTTGTGACTAGAATTTTTTTCCGTTTCATTATTCGTCGTCGGATCCTTTGATGTCCGCGACTCACTTATCCGACGACGTCAGTGTTCCTCGTCGTTTACCGAAGTGTCCGTTCGTCGACCTGTGATTAAACCAGTCCTATGTGAGTAGTCACAGACATGGACGTGCCGAACAATTTCAAGCCGTACCTCTGCAAGTTGGACGATAATGATTGTGTTTCACTCGTGAACATAATCAAGTCGTTCAATACACCCGTCAGCGAGGAACATGCATGGGCCCTGTGCTACCAGTGTGCCAAGTGTTTCAAGAATGCCTTTGAACGTGAACCAAACAGGTGTCGAGTGGTCAAGAACTTAGAAGAAGTCCGTATCCACAAGGATGGATTTATACACCCTACTACCATATTGAACACTGAAGAAATAGGTATGTCTTGTGAATCGTTTATCTACCAATTTTTTATGTTAAATGGAAATTAATGTCATAGGGTGAAATTTGTATTTTATATACTAAGGGCCGTTCTTACGACGTCCGGTTAAAGTTAACCGACACTTAACCGGAAGAATTCTGCCGGTAATAAAATCTGTTATCAGTCGGTTAGCGTTAACCGACACTTTACCGGACATTGTAAGAACGGCCCTAAGGCAGTTCAACATTAATTCTCGTTAATTCTTAAGAACTACAAATTCTAATTAGTGTGATTACAGATCACAGTACCTACCTACATATATTTTTAGTCAAATTGTTGGTATCAACTAGTTGATTTTGAATTTATTTAGATTTACCAGTAGCACAACTAGGGGGGGGCTTAGCCCCCCTGACTACGATTTAGCCCCCCCCCCAAAAAAAAAAATATATTCGTTATTGATTTAGATATAAGCCGCCTATGGGTTATTTTAAATTAATAGTTTTGTTAGGTGAGATGTAGCCCCCCCACCCAGAATTTCAGCCCTAGCTGCTCCTATGTCACAAACTAAGTATACCTAGGCTGTGGTGAACCTTAGAACCGACCGACGATAGAGATACTGTTTTCACAGTTTGTCTTTATACCACTTTAATTTATTAAATTCACCTCCCTTAAAACACATAGGTATAATATTGTAGTATACGAAAATACAGAATGCGGCCATAGAAAATAGTTTTTACTTATTAGATACTCATAAGATAATTAACTACAATGACACCTGTATATAATGGTTTGTAACGGGACCATTTAAAGTGTTCATATTGTAAACAGGCTTTAGTATTATTTTAGTCAAACTCACATACTCATCTATTTAATGAAAATATTGTACTTTTATGAAAAAAAAAAGCTGATAGTATATAATATTATATATATATAGTAGTATTAAATTCATGTACCCACAAAAATCTTAGGTAGATATACCTATTATAATTATTAATGTTATTGGCGATATCGAAGTACCGAGTATGTGATTGGTCATAATCTGTGCCTTGATATCACGTGCATTTGGTTACCATTGTTTTCCATTATGAAGGTATTGTTAAGAATTATTACTATCGGTGTCCTTTATAGAAAGAGTCTGTGTTACACACATGTCAAAAAACATTAAAAGACCTATCTTTTGGCTGGGATTTCATTTAGTCCGTTGATTGAAGTGTTAGTTATATACAGGTGTCGGTTTAGTCAGGTTTTGCTGTATAAAATAGTTATAAGCTAAGAAGGTACCTACATCCATTAGTGTCTGTACCGAGATCTAGACCTTATGGATAACGGTTCAAGATATGTAATATTTGTATCCTTTTAGGCTAGGAACTTGTTTTTGGCCCTTTCTACTCCCAGGCTTTTATTTAAATATCAGAAAAACTCTTTTTATTTTGCATGATATTATAATATGAGCATTGAGCACCTTTTCTGGACTACGATTAAGTAGTGGTACCTACACATTCAGGTAGACAATTGAACCTCTGAATTTATAAATGATACTACATATCATATTTGTATTATGCATTGTTTAAATGTATTGCGTTTTTATTTGTCTTTAACCTGTATAATGTGGGGTATAAACCAAACTTAATTCAAGTAAATAATTAATTTTTCAAGTACCTATTGCTTGGACCATGTAGTCATGGTTAATCAGATAATCGCACCTATACCTATGTACCCATGTTTATTCCAAGGTTTATACTTATTCAATAACTGTAAAACATCTAACTAATATAAATAATTTTAACTATAAATTACATAAGTCATTAAAACTTATTTTTCCTAAATTTATTTAGCAGTTGTGGTACCCATCTAAATTTTAGAGTTGGCTCAAAGAGTATAAGTAGTTAGAGTACCTAGTGATCGAGTAGGTAATGAGTAATGAGAACAAGCATAGAAAACATTTTTTTTTCCTAAATATATATTTGTTTATTTATACAAGTGCGCTAAATTTTTATTACGTCCAGAAAAAACCATACTGTATAATGTAAATCTTGCAGTAAACATCGTTAATTTTGTATCACAATACATTAATTTAAAAGTAATATTAGTCAGATGTGTATTTTATGTACCTAGGTACATAACAATTGACATTGATTTATTTTTTATTAGTTTTTATTCTTGTTACAATAAATCCAAACAATTACGTAGGTAGGCAGGTACATAAGATATATTTTGCAATGTATGTATGAATAGTACAAACCGAGGTAAAAACATTTAAAAGATACTAATTAGGTAATAGGTACCTAATTACTTTAAAATTAATATCTAGATCTAATTGGTTTTAAACCCATATTTTATGAATTTACTAAACATTGTTAAAGACCTATATACTTATAATTTATATGATTTAACTTCAATTATAATTTATTAGTTATAAGTACCTACTAAAGGTGTTGTAACTAACCCACAAATCTTGAGGGAGGTGGGGGAAACGCCTCCATAAATTTTCCTAAAAAGTAACTCAATAGAATTTTGCCTCTATTCATAGCCTATTTTTATTATAAAAATAATTATTTTTACTCTAATTTCATTTTTCTTCTATTAGGTATTACTAATAAAAGTGTAAACGATTTGTTTCAACTAAAAAGATACGTATAGCCGTGCCCCGTATAGGTAGTAGCGGGTAGTAGGTACCTGCATAATAAACTTTTAATTTTGACTGAATAGAGCCTGTAACAAGCCTGTAATTAATTGTCCGCAATGCATTACCTAGGTCAATATTATATAACTTGACAACAAAATATAAATACACTTTAAAGAATATTAAACAAGTACAAATTACAAATTACAAAATGTTCTGTCTTATGAATTTATATTTATATCATTGGCATTAGCATTAAATATGTATATCATATTACTGTGCAATGAGCATTATTTTTTTATTTTTTTTTTATTTATATAATTTGAGTTTGAAGATTAATTTATCTTGAGGGGGCTATGAGTAATTTTTGGGAGGCTATGCCCCTCTAATTATTTTTTTGATACTAACAAATTTTGGCTACACCAACACATGTTATACAATAATAAACTAATATGATTTATTGCTAGGTATATAGACTATTTTTACAATAGTTAGTAGTACAATATTTTATTGCATTATACATAACATAACATTATAGGTACATCCTAGATGTCTGTATTTACTTTTTACTTTTTTTCACATTTAAGAACTTGACGGCTATGTAATTTTAAATATCTTAATTTTTAAAGCTAGACCATTGTACAAGTTATAATATATTGTATTTTAGTCGTATTATAATTAATAATGGAAATAATATATTTAAGTTATATATACCCTTGTATATACCTATTTGTTATAAAAATATTTATTGGTAATTTATTATTCTATAGATAAATACCAATCTGGCTACCTAGTTTTGAAGTTAATCTACTTTTTATTAATTTTATTGTAATATTGTAATACGAGTACCTAAAAAGAATAAAATTAGACATACATAGTACATACCTCCTCCAATCTGGCCCCCTATGTATTAATTCTCCATAAGTTATTTCCAAGGATAATACAAGTATTTCAATTATATTAGGTATTCACATTTTCCTTGCAAATAAACTTATTATTTATAAATCTTAAATAATTCTATATATAGTCCAAACCGGTATACCGCTTAATATCATTATTTTTTATTGCCTAGGATGTCCTTAATTTCAGAGTGTCTGGGAAAACTATTGTTTTAACAATAGGTAAGATATTTAAATACATAGGTACATTCAAAAATGCTATTAAATAGTCTTGGATAAATTAATTATTGCACCTACCTAGATACTCATATCTCATTTATGACCTGCTATAGTGGATTATCCAAGAGTAAAGAGCGGGGCTCTTTCACTACAGGTTAAATAATTTGTATTATATAATTATACAAATTTTAATGCATTCTAAAAAAAACTATCAATTTGTAATAAAGATATTATACACTCCCTCTCTCGAAATAAAATTATTGTTTTTATGCACTACTACTTGCTACATCATTTACACTGTTACAAAAATTAAATAATACTTTTGTCTAGTTCAGAACTAGAAAATTATGTTTACATGTTTATGTTTGTTTCAGCTGAATCTCTGGAAAATATTGAAAAACTAAGTAATGAAAATGATAGTAAAACTATACTTCAACATCATGTAAGTAATAAGTACCTATTTTTAATATGTTATTATGTAGCATGAGCAAATTTATAATTATTTATGATTATGAGTAATTAAAGATTTAAATTAATTGACCATTTAGTGTGATAAATTGTTGACTATCATTGTTGACTAATAGTTGTTACCTGTCTAATACTCATTACTAAAAAATATACTAATTGTGATTTCATTAAAATAATTTTCAAGTTTCTTTTAAAATATAATTACAAATTAACGCTGTTCTTACAATGTCTATTTAAAGTTATCTGACACTTAACCTGTGGAATTCAGCAATAATAAAATCTGTTATCAGCTGGTTAGCTTTAACCGACACTTTACAGGACATTGCAAGAACGGCCCTAAGTCTGTTTATTTTATCTAGTAGTTACAGAGTTAGTACACCAACAATCAAGTCAATTTTGAAAATTATTTATTTTATTTGTACATATTGATTTAATACATATTTGCCTAGTTTAAGTAATTTGGTTAAATATTATTTTAACACACATTACATTTACAATACTCTGTAGTCCTTAAAGTATCTACATTGTATTTTAAATTCAATAGGTATCATTAAAAATGTATAATCATAAAAATGTTTTGTCGGTTATTAATTTATAAATACCTACATTTTCATTTTAGTGTTCTGGGAACTGTATTGTATTGTTATACAAATTAACATAATTCTTAATGCATAAAAATGAGTAGGTAATAATTAAAATAATTTCTTTTTCTTTTTTAAATCAACTAGTAACGGTAGTCCTTTTATAGTTTATATTTAGTTTTAGAGTTCATTTCCTTATGTTTTTAATATACTTTCTATTTTGAAATTAGATTAAATTGTCAATTTTATACCTTAAATATATCATACAATATTTAAATGCCCTTTTATATTATCTATATTAATTATACTTAGGTATAATATTTAGACTGGAAATTTATAAATAAAAATTAGATGAAAAATATATTAATATTTCTTAAGATATTTCCATATATAAAATATAATCTTCATACTAATAACCTATATTTTAATTTTTTTCTACTTAAATACATTTTTTTGAAAACAATTTGTATTGTAAATAATATTATTCAAAATGTTTAAGACACAATAAGATATTTTTAAATTTGTTAAAAGTTTTCTACTGTATCTTACTACATCTATAAACAAGATAAATTCATTTAAAATATAAAACTTTTTAAACTGACACATTAAAAAAATTATATTTTGTCATATACTTTCATAATACTAATTTACATAGGTGATTGCCAGTCTAGGATATATTGTTTTTCAAGTACTAGATTTTGGAATTGATGAAGATGAAGAAAGGTCATTAAATCCTGAGTTGGAATCATTAATTAAACGAATGATAGCTTCATGTAAGTAAATTCTAATATTAAATAGTACCAATAATTTTAGTAATTAACAAAAAATAAGTAGAATTATTAATTAGTATATAATTGGTATTTATGAGTTTTATATTTTTTGATAGGCAAGTAATTTGTCAAAACATTAATTTGTACAAAAAAAATCAGCGAACTTGCTTTATTGTGTAGTCGGTGTCTATGGTATTCCATCATTGAGTAGGTCATTGTAATGGATGTGTTCAATTGAATGCAATGATAAATCATTGTATACAAACAACATTTCTGAGCGTAGTCAGTTGCCTATATTTTGAAGGATATTATGTTATCTATATATTATAGATACATATATAGTTGAACTAATTTTTGGAAAAAAACAAATTGCATATAGTAATAATTATAATATATATTCATATTTTTTATGTCATTTCTCATTACCAACATACTATAGACCTATGTGAATAGTTTAAAATTAATCTAAATATTTTGAACATTTCATTGTGTAATAATATTATACTTAATGATACGCATAATTATATACCTAGTGGCATAAAGTTACGACTCCATACTAATAATCTTTTGGGAATTACAACAAAATGTAATTTAATAATTTTAACTTGAAATGCCTAAAAGAAAATAAGCATTTGTATTTTTGAGGTTTTTAGGTTTCTGTAAGAACTACTTTTATGGAACCTAGTAATTCATTTTTTAGTTCCTGTATGAACAATATATTATCATGTAGGTATTTGACTGTATTACATTTTTAAGCTTTTCTTACTGACAAACAATGATTGTGTCATGCATAAATAAAAATGTTCAACTTAGAATCTAACACAAAACAAGAAGTTTGAAATTTTCATATTAATATGACAAAAACAATAAATTATGTATGCAAAATAAATTAATATTTTGAGACTTTTGAAAAACATTTAGAAATTATATCACTTCTAAATATACCAAAACAAATGTTATGAAGGTCATTATTTCATTTTTGTTACATAAGTATATAACTACAAATATAGGTAATGAATTGCTGATTGCAAAATAGTTTTTTATAAGATTTTTAATTTTTATATTTCTTAAGTCAATGTTGATTTTTTCAAACAGATTAGTTAATTTATGTTATGTCACTTAAGTAAAATAAAAGTTTTTAGTGTTCATAATCTTCTTATAATTAATTGTGTTTGATTTAAGGTATTTAGATAATTAGAGTTTGTATAATAATTTTATTTTATATAGTTTAGTAGGTACTTGAAATATATTCATGGCTGTTGTATCATAATTTTTATATTTTAGTTATTTACATATTTAATATTTATTGATTTTTAAAATTCTAAAATATATTCAAGTAAGCTACAAACAAACTATGCATGGTGTATCAATAAGGTGATATGTGAATAACATTTTTTTTTTAAAGTTATCAATAATAATTATTCTTTGACAGTGAAAAAAATTAAATGTATACTGAAAAAAGTTTTACTTTACTTATAATAGTTTCTGTGATGAATAAGGTAATTTTTATTGTTAATGATCTGATAAATGTAACCATGGCATTTCAAATGTACAAACTTTCCATTCACTATTATCCACTTCTACTTATTCTAGCAGTTGTTAGAACCTAGTACTGACTACTTTAAAGAAGTATGTTACAATTGCCACTACTTTCCACGAAAAGTAGTCCATTACAATGATGATTATTTTTCTTTTCCTTAAAAAAATCATATATTTATCAATATTTTATAGTTAACATAAAACTACATATTAATAATTAATTTTGTTGTGTAAGGTATAATTGAATTACAGCACATATATATTATTATTTTCTAAGATTTTCTGTTATGAAAAATTCTATTTTACTTATATTATTAATTAAAACAATATTTATTTTATAGAATAAATGTTTGATGGGTTGGTTCTTGTTTATTGAGTCTAATCTAAAAGTTGAGTACTCATTTTCAGAGTACTAGAAAATTTGTGAGCACTACGAAATTATGACCTTTATTCAGTATTCTCATTAGGTACATTTGATATTTGTAATTTTAGATTCTTAGCAATGAATGTATTGATTTTACAATGATGTGTGTTTTTTGTTGTGTGTCTGTCATCACCTTTTGGGACAGTAAAAATCTTTTCTGGTTTTCTAGTAAATCTAGTTGATACTTTTTTTTAGGGGAGAAGGGGGGGACCAAAGTAAAAATTCTTATTATTTTTAAAAGCCACTGACAAAAAGCAAAAAAAAAAAAATTAAGGAAAAATAATTTTTACACTAAACCACTATTCGACAAAATTGATTTAGTTTTTTTGGTGTACCTTAAAAACTAATAACCGTAGATACTTCAAATTTTCACAAAATGTTTATATAACAGTTTTACATAAATGGCGACTAGGTCTCGGATTTTAAAGCACAATTAATAACAAAAAAAGCATTATAATGTTAGAAAATATTATTTATTTTTTTAAAAAAAAAAACAAAAAAGAGCATGACTATTGTATTTCATAAAAATGTTCTCTTCATAGCTAATATTTGAAAGTTTAATACAAAATTCCTCATGAGTTTTTCTACATTTAAACAGAAAAAAAAGTTTATCGGAATGTCAAAATAAATTGTTATGACCATTTGAAGTTCAAATTTTTTTTGACATCTTGATTCACCTGTAAACAAACAATTTCTTATTGAATGATTTTCTTATTTTGTTTCAATTCAAAATTGAATAGCTGTAAATACTTGGTATTAAGTTTTCACCAAATATTAATTTTATCATTTCATAATACCTATACCTATATATATATTATATTTAATTTTCAAAATATTCTGATTCATTTAGAACTATTTAAAATATTTAATTTTTTTTTGAATTTGTTTCTATGAATGTTGAATAAGTTTTTCCATAGGGTCAAAATACTTGAAAATTTAATATGAGGATTCTCATGTTCCTTGAACCAAAAAATGTAAAGAAGTATACACAGTTGTTTTTATATATATTTTAAACAAACAAACAAACATAATAATATTTATTTTGCAAAAAACAACAAGTGACACATTATATAAGTACGTAAAATAATTATTTGCAGCACCCCCTAAAAGCAAAGCTTGTGCTGGGGGAGCGGTTCTTATATTATATTACTTAAAATAAATACATTAAACTAAACTTTTATAAACTATTATATTCAAAAACTATTCAATATTTTAAACTAAAATTTTGACAAAGTTTGATATTTTAACCAAGAAGAATGTTTTTAGCTATTTTGTTGTAATTAAAATATTTTATTTGTGGTACTTAATACTTTTAATATGTATTATTATATTTAATACACACAATGGCGTTTTTCATAGTTAATTACTTTAATAGCAGTAACATCATAAAATATACTTAGTAATATAGGCAGACACTCAATTGTTTTTTTTTATACAATGATTTTATATTATTGAATTCAAATTTACTACATCCATTAGTGACCCACACGACACCTAAAGTACAGAGCAGACCTATACCTACTTGTCACCTTTTATACAATTATTTTTTCAATAAATCATTTGAGTACTTGATTTTTCGAGTATTAAAAACTAGTTGAGTTGAGTACTTATACAATTGTTCAAGTTGAGATGTCGAGTACTTGCTCAAATGGAAATTAATTTAACTATATTATAATATTTATTATCTCTGTGCTAAAAATAATACATATTTATATTTCGGAAATAAACCTTTCATGAAATATTATCTTCTTTGATAAATTTAATATTTAATTGTATTTTTACTCTACCTGATTTTGGCCTTAAACTTTAATATATATATATATATAACTATTTGAATATTTGATTAAATTAGTAATCCAGCTTTAAAAATATTGACTTAAATTATCTATTGAAATTGGCTAACACTATTTTTTGAGAAACACAGAAACAATAATTTTTTTTTAGTTTAGAATTTTAGCCTATGAATAATATCATAAATTGTAATTATTGCTATTGTAGATTTCTAATCGTAATTTTCTAGTTTTAATTTTTTGAAAAATATTAAAAATAAAATAATGGTCAAAATAACTTTAAATACCTATGTATAGCACACAAAATGTCCTAAGTATTTTGCTAACTATTTCATGTCTAGTAAATGGTAACATGAATATTTGGTAAAAACGTCTACAGTTATTCATTTTTGAGGTTTAGTGTAAAAATGTATGTTTTTACCTCTTGGTTATAAGTTCTGGGAATTTTTCATTTCGGATTCCCCAAATTAATAACTAGGTCCAATTTGCCATCAGAAACCAACCTCTCTTAAAGAAGAAAATCAAATTTTTCTGTTTTAAAAAGTTACTTTTGACAAAAAAAAATAAAAACTAAAAATACCTACATTCATTGCTCTGTTCAGAATCCAAAAGGTATTTTGACTTGAACAAGTCAATTGACAAATGAGTCTTATCTAAATAAATATAGCCTGTCAAATGTATTTAAAAATATTTTTCAATTTCTTGTGTTGACTGATTCATTTCAAATTTTCATTTTATAATTAATCATTAACTATTTTTATAAGGTCCTCATCTTAATTTGATTTTAATAATTATTATGTACACCTTAAATTTTCAGTTGAATATGGTTTACATGCTCAATCTATGGACCATGGGCAATCAGGTGAAACTGATGATGAAGGAATTGAAAGAGATTCTGCCGAATGTGAAGAAATATCACGAAATAATTTTGCTACTTTTGATGATGTCTTGGAGGTAAATATTTTTTTTTTCTTATAATAGTTATTTAATATTCATTAAATGTGCTCGGAATTTTGAAATTTGTTAAATAACAATTTCCTGATTTTTGGGGTCTTCAAGAGAACGTCGCACCAATATGTGTTGTCTCCTCCTTACATAATATGTACGATATATTTTTGTTCGCTAGTTTCATAGGGTGGTATCAGTTTTGATATTAGAGTGAATTGACCTATTATCAAACTTTTAAGTAACTAACAACATTATCTGTGTTCTCTTGTTGGTTTTTTACAATATTTTAATTTTTAAGTGAGTTATGACTTTATGAGTATGTAAAACTTTAATATTCGAAAATGCTCATAATTCACTTAAAAATTAAAATGTCATAAAACACTTGATTTTTAACAGATAAGTTTGATTCACTCAAATTGCTTCATTGAATATCTATTTTTGTTTTAATTCATAAATTTATTAAAGATGGCTAAACAATTTCTTCTTCCCAAATCCCATACTTTTGAGTTTTAATATTTTCCAATCCCATATCAACTTTATAAAATTGTATCTCAAGCACCTCTATTGTTAGGTAATATTCCCTACTTTTATGTATATATTTTTGGTAATGTTCAAATGTTTATTCTAGGAATGCAGTAGACATATAGGTGTGTCAGGATTGGGTTCTGAAACTCATTACAAAGCAGTATGCAGGGCATTAGTGGCAGAGGCTTTAGAGCTTTCGTCATTTTTAGATAAATTATCTGATGGAACTGTCAGTTTAAGACACAGAAATTCTACTTCAGCTGAATTAAGTACATTGGATTACAGTGATTGGGTAAGCTATAAAGTGCTGAATTGAATATTCATTATCGTAGATTTTTATAAATTAACTAATTTCTAATGGTCATCTTAAATGTATGATTTTATTAGCCTATGTTAAATAGTAGAGCTTTGATCCTTAATATTTGAGTTCACATAATTATGTTTAATTGTGAATAATATCTACTGCATTATGGCTTTAGGAAGTGAATTTGTAAGTTTGTAATGTTTATATTTATTATGGCATCAAAACTAACACATTTGTTGTGTTACTTTTTGTTAGCCCAACCGCAGAAAGTGGAGTATTTTACAAGTATGTCTAGATTATAGTACAACAAATTACATTTTATTATATTTCAAAATAATAATTTTGATTTATAAATTATACAGGTTAAAATGGTTTTTATGAGGCATGTTGTAGTTTACTTAACATTTTAACTTACATTTTAGTTGAGATATTATACTTTTATATTATGATATAAATTGTAAAAGTTTTACTAACATATTTTGTTAATTAAATAACAATGATACAAATATTAATTATATCACAGTTTTTATTTTATTATATAATATGTATTTATGTTGTATGTTTAACAATCAAAATATAATTTATAAAAACAAATGTGTAGGCACGATTATGGATACAATTAATACGAGAATTACGACGTGGTGTGCAATTAAAAAAAGTTGATCAAAGGTCTCATACTGGAGATGAATTTGTTGAATATGCATTAACCCCCTATGAAATGTTAATGGACGACATAAGGTCCAGAAGATATACTTTAAAAAGAGTTACCCCTCCAGAAATTCCTGCCAGAATTCAAAGAGATGCTCATGATGCAATACTCGAATTTATTAGATCAAGGCCGCCATTAAAAAGCGTGAGTAAATTTTAACAATTATTAGAAATAATTAAAGATAATAATATACGTAATCAATATATGTATTAGGAATTTTATTGCATTATAATGAAGTAATTGGCATAGGTCTAATGTGCGATCTATCAATGTACCGATTTTTTGTGATATTATCATTTTTAATTTTTAACTGAGTATGTCTAAAACTATTGAACATTTATGTAGACATATAAATACATAATACACAGTGAAACTATACTGTATGTGTTTATTGAAAAAAAAAAGAAAACAAGTAAGAAATTCTGTAGGCAATAAAAAACATGAAGAAGTATGCGTAACATTAAAAAGAAATTCAAAAGAAGGTAACAAACAATACATTTCACTAAGATGTCCTAAAAACGAATTCTAAATGTTTTGTTAAATTTGTGCAGCAATAATTTTCTTACATTCACTGATTTAAATGCTATAGTTCCCTATCACTGTGTGATTATGGAGCTTCTGTGGTTTTATCCCTTTGATAAACCTAACATAACTTCCCTCGTATTTGTATTTACAAATAGTATTAATGTTTAATAATTAATTTAAAATTTTTAATATACTTTGTGATGTGAATACTAATTATAAGTTGTTAATTGTTATATTACTTACTTGAGAATTAATGTTTATTTCAGGCTGCTGCAAGAAAACTAGCTCCTCGCCAACAAGATAAACTCTCACCAAGGGAACATCTATTGGAGTGTATAAAAAGTGGAAACGTCAAGTTGCGTTCTACTTCATTAACCAGTAAGCTCATTGAATTTTAAAATGAATGTTATACATTTTTGTTATTTTTAACAACGTTTAACATACTGTTATTTATTAGTACATGAATTATTCAGTATTGTTCTATATGTGCTCAGTTTTATTTACAATTCTGGTGTTTTTACATTTATTTAGAAAGCCTTTCCGTAATTATAAAATCATCACAGATCAATGTAGAGTTTTCATCCAAACCGTCCAATAATCAAAAAGTAATGTATTTTATTTGTTCAAATAATTTAATGATTCCAAGCAAATAATTTTTTAATTTTTGTTTAGTTCACTATGACAATTCATCTATAAACAATTCAGAAGAAGAATATATGCCAAACCAATCGATTAAAAGTATGCTTGATCCAAGTAAAGAGCGCAAGCTTATAAAAGTGGATTTTTCTGCATTAGCACGTTTAGTGGTATGTTAATATATTAATAGCGCATTATTTTGTTGGAATTAGTTTTGTCTTCATGTGTGTTTTTCACACTAAATTTTCAGAGTTCTGATTCTGAAGACGATTTTGATGACGATGAAGAAGATAACAAATTTAAGACTACTACAGTGGAAAAAACTGAAGAATCCACATATTTGGGCGTGTCCACTCAAGGTAGTGATTCCCAACCAAACAACTGTGATTTGCACTTTCGATTAAAAACACTGTCTCCAACCTCATCCTGTGTGATATCTTAAAATAATCTATCTTGCTTTAAGTTCTTGTAACATTCCTAGTTTTTTTATGTTTATTTAAATCTTTGTTTTTGTTTTTTTATTTCATCATTTTATTGTTTATGTTAAAACTATTTAACCATTGTGATTTTGTGTTGTGGTTGTCATTGTACCACCCAGTCATATTTTCAACATTATAAAACACTTTAAACTAATTTATTAATTAAAATTAAATTTTTCGATCAGTCTGAATAATAAATTATATTATAAATTATGATTCCCATTGAGAAAAAAAAATATTGTTATAATTTAAATCTTGAATAATTATTCATACATATCTTTAAAAATATTTATAACTGTTGTATTATATTTTGTACATAAATATGAGGTGATTGATACATGAAATTAAGGATTATTTTTTTCTAATTAAGTTACTATCCACATTCAATTTTTAGACTGCACCACGATCAACACTTTTGCTTCATCGGTCTTGGTAATTTATGTTTATGTTTATGATTTATTTTTTTGTTTTTTGTAAATATTTTATTTAGGTATAGAATTTTATTTTGTAGAATTTAACATTCTGTTGAAATTTATAAGACCAGCTGTTATATATGTTCTAAACAGAATAGTATAAAATTATGTGTACACAATCCAGGTGAGTTTAATTAAAAATTACCTTTTTTGGGTAAATGTCTACTTGATCATACGTAAAATAAGCCTTAAGATTTTTTTCTATGCTTGCTACACTAACATTTAACCTTTATACTAATACTCTTCTTACATTCTTAACACATTGTTATTATGTATATAAAAATCCTTGGATTAATAACAAAATGTAACTTAGTCTTTGTTATAATACTTAATAAATCAAAATAAGGTATGTAGTTGTAACAAATTAGTTCTTTATTCATGTTATGATTGTTATCATAATTAAAAAAATATCTGCATATAATTAACAATAAATAATAACATAAATGTTTTTAATGTTGTACAAATTCTATTATATTCTATAGTGTTAAAACAATTTAATTTTACAATATGAATTATTTCTATGATTCACGTTTTAATTAATTTGATAAAATGTAAACCGCTTACTTAACAATTAATGTTGAATGTATAAATGCTCTACTTACATAACTTATAAATTGGGAAATGGCAAAATGTATTAATTGAGCAATTGAAAATTGATACATATGTTTGAAATTTTTTGATATTTTTTTTGTTTGCAAAATAACATATTAATAAAATGTACTGTTATTTGATACTGATATTGTTGGTTGTAGGAAGAGAAGAAAAACATGGACCTGCCGAAACAAAATTCAATAAAAATATCCATGCTATAAGAAAACAACAACGAAGGCATACAATTGCTGATCAATCATCCTTGTCTTTTATTAAACCAATGGGTGGATTATGGAAGCAATCTCGCAGACAATCCATGTACAAAAACACTTTACCTACTGTAAGTGGTTCCTCTCCTTATGTCTTTATTAAGGGGGTCGGAGCCGGTACAAAAACATGTCTTACAGGAAAAACTCGCACACCCTTTAGAATTGCCGGATTTTGTTAATTTTTTTTTTTATCTAAAAGCAGAGAACATTTTGTAGGTCGGAACAAAGCCCGATTTTGAAAATTATAATTATAGAAGCTGGAAAATGCATTTGAAAAATGTTCAATATTTGGACCTTTTTCAAACGTAATTTTCTACTACTATTTAAAGTAAAATAAAAGTTCGAGCTTTGATCCGACCTGCAGAAACTACTCATCTTTCAGATAAAAAAAACTGACCAAAATCCGACATACCTACGAGGCATGAGAGTTTTTCATGTGAAACCATTTTTGTTCATCAAAATAGTGCTTCGATAATAGTCATCGAAGTCTAGCACTGACTTGTACATGCGCGTGCGTACATATCTTTATCAGCACATGTAATTATACCTCGCTCACACTAATATCGATTTACATTCTCACACACATGCACAATCCGCTTGAGGCTGATACAACTTGTGAATTAATTGCCTAAATTTTACTCCTTAATAAATGATCGACACCGACACCCTTAAGTTTAAATTCAATATAATATGTGGATGATAAAAGTTATTTTACAACAAAATGCATATTGATAAATTATTTTCATTGTTTATATTATAAAATGTATTTATCATAATACTTTTAGACTGCTATTTAACTGGTATTAGTTAAATGTTTTTCTTAGTACAATTATTATCAGTATTAAGAGGACACCTAACATGCATGTTTTGTCTCTGTCTTACAAAATGATAAATGTACAACATATAAAATTTGGATTCAGTAAACAACTTTTGGGTGGTTAGCTTTTAGTATTAGAATGAATTTAAAATTTAAATATCTTTAGAAAGTAGAAACCTACGAGATGAAGTAATATTCTTCACTTAAAGTTTTAAAATTGATCAATTCACTCAAATATTATTAATACCTAATGTCCTAATAACAATAAAATTTGCTATGCGTCTATGCTGTAAGTTCATAAAACTGAAACAACACAATATGCGGGTTTGAGGTCCACTTAATGTTTTTATGTTCAGATGAAATATTTCATGATTTCATAACTTTATTGATAAGTTAAATTATATTGTATATTAATTATATACTACTCGTTATTTGTAATTATTTTAGCATTACCTAAAGATACCCAAGGCTGAAACTATTAGTTTTTTTTACTAAATAGTAAATATTAAATAATAAATGTATAATACTTTTAAAAATAACGGTTTATTTACAAAATGTTAATTGTTGTTAATTTACCTATATTGTAGTAAATTAAGTATGTTAAATTGTTTTAATCAATTAAATTAATAAATATGTTTATAGAGTGATTGTTTGACCTTAACTCTGCAAGAGCTCATACATATTCGTAGTGTGCTTACCAAAGCAGAGATAGAAAGCTTACCAGTTGAAGGAAATTTTAAAGAAGATGTTGAAAATCGAAAAGTACATATTTATTTTATATAGTAAGATTTGAAATGGATTTATAAATTTTTTTTTTTGTTGTAGGTCTGCTTCTTATGTATGAAAACCAGATTTGGAATTTTTGGACCTTGGGGACAGGAATGCAAAATGTGCCAACGTACAGTGTGTTCAAAATGTTGTACCAAGGTAATAAATCTAAAATAAACTTATTCAGTATCTTTGATTATATTTTAAAATAAATACCTTTTTGTTATAATATAGATGCGTATGCCAACTGATCATTTGTCCCAAATCCCGGTTGTAGCACTCAGTCCAAATGTAGCAATATCTGAACAAAATCCTTGGTGGTCAAAGAGCAGTTGGGGCAGTGCTCCATCTAGTCCTCAAAAAACGACAGTTGGTTGTCCCAATAACAGTATGTCTGCTAGTTACCATGGTTCATCCACAGTCGCACAAAACATCACTCGGTAATAATCTCTTACTAAAATCCATCATTACAGAAAATAAACTCTAATTTTGACTTTTTTTAAAATAATTATTTGATGTTTCAGCACCAAATATAGTGCACAAATGGCCGTCTGCCTGGACTGTAAGACAATGGTACTGCAAGAAATCAAAACGTCTAGAGTGAATCGCTCAAATTTACTTCGCCATTTAACACTTGACTTGTCATCTGTTTATTAGTCAATTGCACGTTGATATGTATTCCTTTCATTGTCACTTAACATTCCATTGTTGATTGATTGCTAAATATTATTTAAAATAGTAGTATTAATTTACTTAGTGAATATTTACTATAACTCGTGATAATTGTATGAACGCCTAATTCAATGACTAAAAGTCATTTCTATTTGATAGTTGTATTTAATTAATTGAAATTAAATTAATAAACACCATTGTAGCACAAATGAAACATATATTGTAAAATTTTAATTGTATTGTAAAAAAATAATTGATAATGTATAATTTATATATTTTTGTCTTTTAGAATTAGTAATAATTTTGATTATTGTTGCTATTTATATTTTGATATTGCTACTGCAGTTGTCCTGGAATCTCAGTAGATTTGTCTCTGATTGTTTAGATATTCATCTTAAATGTAAATTATTGTAATTGTAAATGAAAAGATCGATGTTGAAATTTAAAATTTTAAACTTATTATGTATTGCAATATATTTTTTTGACAGTTGAGTTATTTTCTTTTTAAATTGATTAGAAAATGCTCTGGGCATTGGATATATTCCCTACATTTTCGAAATCCAAAACATTTGTCTTCAAACATGTTCAAACACTTAAAATATATTAATTATGTTCAGAAAAGATGAAATTTTGTATGTATAAAAAAAAATGCGGTCACAGATCTATAAAATGTTTTCCAATGAGATTGTACAGAGAACAAAGTTTCATAATACACTAACTTATAAACACTATTGTAGTAGTTTCTAAATTTAATTCTAAATAATAGCTAACAGCCTAACGTACAAATTACATATTATGTAAACTATGAATATTAATTATTGTGTAGAAAAAGATCATTGACTCCCACAATTATTTTTTTTGTCAATGGTTACTAACAAAAAAACATCATTATGGCGACCTATATTGACCATTTATAAATGAAAAACTATGGAAAATAATCTCTCAAATTTTAAAGAAATTCAATATGTTTAGATGTTGCCAATAAATCTTATTGGATTAACAATTAATTATTTTTTAGTTAAGGGTGTCATTGCCGGTCATTTATTAAAGAGTAAAATTTAGGCAATTAATTCACATGTTGTATCGGCCTCACGCGGAACGTGCATATGTGTGATAATGTAAATCGATATTAGTGTGAGCGAGGTATAATTACATGTGCTGATAAAGATATGTACGCACGCGCATGTACAAGTCAGTGCTAGACTTCGATAACTATTATGATGAACAAAAATGGTTTCACATGAAAAACTCTCATGCCTCGTAGGTATGTCGGATTTTGGTCAGTTTTTTTTATCTGAAAGATGAGAAGTTTCTGCAGGTCGGATCAAAGCTCGAACTTTTATTTTACTTTAAATAGTAGTAGAAAATTACGTTTGAAAAAGGTCCAAATATTGAACATTTTTCAAATGCATATTCCAGCTTCTTTAATTATAATTTTCAAAATCGGGCTTTGATCCGATCTACAAAATGTTCTCTGCTTTTAGATAAAAAAAAATTAACAAGATCTGACAATTCTAAAGGGTGTGAGTTTTTTCTGTAAGACATGTTTTTGTACCAAAAAACAAACGGGCTTCGACCCCTTAAACCAGTGTTACAGAAGTTAAATAATACAAATTATATAACCACCTTTTTTTTATTAAAGTTTTGGAACCACTTGGGGGTGAATTGTTTTCACACGGCTTACAATACAGCATCGTTTATGAAAAAAAAAAGTAAACAAAAATACAGCAATCATGGCACACCTAGGGGATTGGAGAAAACCTAAGCTAACAAATGCTAGTGCATAAGTACAGAGTCCAGAGCGCCTGTGGGCGTATAGTTTTTTTTTTAACTGGTTCTCTCTATGTTGTCTACTAGACTGACCAGCATCTGCCACCAAGGTACCTTTTCACAGGCTGACCTGAGCCCACTGCACTGCTGCAAAGTTCCCATATCAAATAAATTAACCTAATACTATGAATTGGGGGACGAGCGGTCTAACTCGTCGGCTGCGGCGCAGCCGATCCGGGTTCAATCCTTGGTCACTGGGCGGCATTTTTCTTTGGGCAAGTCACGGTGTCCGGAGAATAAATGCCGCCATCCCCCACTCCGGGGCATGGCAGAAACCTACGGGTGGCCCAATAGAAATTCTGCCAAACACTCATGTGTTCCTAATGCACACTTAAAAAAAAAAAAAAACTATGAATTGGAAACAGGAAATAGTTATAAAAATATGTCAACTATTAAAAAGGAACTAGTTTTAATAATTATTATTTATTAATATTTAATACATACGTTAGTACAATTTAACATTAATTACCACAGAAATACAATAAACTCTTAAGTAACTTACATTATAATCATTATATTAATATAAAGCTCTTTAAGTTGGGCGTTCGTGGTTTTAAAAAAACAGCCGTTATACAAAATGTACAATATCAACGTTGTCTTAAGTAATCAAACATAGTACTCAAAATGTGAAGGCAATACAATAATTGTTGTCAACATTGGATGCCAACTAAATTCTAATTACATAAGAAGAAAAAACACGTATTGTAAAACTGCGGAGAATTCTTGTTACTGTAGTAATTCAACGTTTTCTCTCGACTTTTTGAGCTTTTTTCTTCTTAGCATCTTTTTTTTCTTGTACCAATTGCTTTTGTTTTTCTCTATAAAGTGTAATTTCAATCGTAATTAACATAGTTAAATGGAGTGATGATGACAATTTTTATTTTTTTATTAGAAATATACAATCTGGGCCCTAAAGAATATGACGTGCAACAAAAAGGATAAAAAAATGTAACAAGAAGAAACCATTCAGTGATAGCTCTTAATTTTCTTCATACATAAATAAAAAGAAATATTAATTCTGAAAAAATATTTGAATTCAGCAGAAAAATGTCTATAGATCGTAAGAAACATTTTCCGTTTATAGTATTAATTTTAATTATGATTCGAAAAACCTCATATTTTCAAGTTATCAATTACAGTTAACAATAATATAAAATTTAGATTCTACAAATTGCTTCATAGGATCTATAGACAATTTTCTGGTGAAATTTTTTTCAGAATCAAAATCGGACAACATTAACTAACTTTAATTTTTGTCAATAATTTAGGTCTTTTCAGCTAAAATTGACTTCAGTAGCGAGGCTTCATAAGATAAAAAAAAAAAAAATATATAAACTCTTTCAAAAGCTGTTATTGACTGATTTTCAAGTAACGAAAAGCATTACCAGAATTTTACATCATTAACATAATGAAATATAAATCTAAATTTTACCTGTCTTCTTTATCTTTTTCTTTTTTACGTAAGCTCTGTTCCTTGGCTCTTTCCCTCTGTTCTTTTTTTAAAGCTAATACAGTACTAGCATTGGTATTATGTTCTATGTCTAAATCATCACATTCTTCTTCCTCTGAATTTGCTTCTTTCTAAAACAAAAAAATTAATATAAACACATTTTATGCAATAGATCTGAATACATTGTTGATACAATAGTTATAAAGAGCATCCAGATTTTTAGGTTTAAAAAAAATGAGAGTTGATGCTAATATTTTCTGATACAACATAAAACTAATACCTAGTGGACTGGCCCACTGTATTGTAAGATACTGCCCTTGTACTATGGGGGCACGAGGTCCTTAATTAATATTTAAAATATGCCGACGGACCATAATTAAGGATAGCACATCTTAAATCTTTATTATTTTAAACTGTAATTTCTGATACTCCTTGATAATAATATATTATTGGTGTAATTATTACGATTTGAATTATGTTATTTTTATGGTCAAAATACTAATTGCTTTTCTGAATTCTTCTGAATGTGGGTCTTTCTATAATTGAAGGTTAATAAGCTTTTATAGGCCCAGACTGCCCCTGTTTTTTTTCCCCATTTGGGTAGTCAGTGTTGGAACGAACTGTTCAACATTTTTTATATAATAATGTGTAAAACCTAAAAATCAGGAACCCTAGTCCTTAGTCATAACATACCTGTGCATATTGACTTAAAATATTTTTTCTAATTTTAACTAAATCAGAATCTTCCTCGTCTGAATTTAGTTTAATGGGAACCGTCACAACAGTCCTTATATTTGTTTCTAACATTTTAACTAAAGTTTCTTCGGTGTCTTCTATGGGTATTTTGATTTCATTAGCATTACTGTCGTCTTCTGTATCATACATGTCGATTATTTCCATACATTGAGTTTTCACTTCGTTCTCGCTCTGTGAAATAGTAAAAATAACATTAGTTTTGTACTTATGATTTAAAGGTTTTTACACATTTAAAACGAGATTTCTGTTTTGACACAAGTCACAATGCTAATTGGCTATCATCCAATATGCGGTCTACCTATAAAAGTACAGTACGTAGTCTACTGTACAAATTTTATTATGATTTTAAACTATAGATCAAAAAATTAAAAAATGTATATAATTAATAACTATAGGAACTAAGCTACTTAGGTTTATCACAATATATAACATAGGCTGAAAAATCCTTATAAGGTAACACTTACCAACACTTCTCCGAGAATCGCCTCCAGTGCACTGATCTTTTCGCATCGATCTTCTTCGCCGTCCAACACGCTTTCGATGTAGTTCAAGTAGATCTCCTCGTCCAGAGCGAATTGTTTGAGTTTCGACGACAGCCACGCCGTCTTCGTGCACTGGGCCGACATGTCTCTGGAACGGACGACCAATTTTACCACCACGGGTCGAAAAGGCGCCTGCGAAGGTGTTGTCGGACAAAACCGTGTTGCTTTGGTCCTTCGAAAATTCTACGACGGGCGACAGAAAGTGCCCGATTTTTGAGACGAGGCCAGGTTTGCTACACACAAATCCGAATCGAGCAGCTTCCACCGGACGGCGCGTGGGCCGCAAGGTTCGACGTGAAGATAATAATATAATATTAATAATATACCTAAAATTTTTGGAAGCACGACATTTTTGACGAACCCGTTGCCACTATCACGGTTCAAACGTCAACCGTTATCACAATAATATATCATTATCACACCACAATAAGATAACGACAACCATGGACCATAAACCATAAAGAACATTCTACCCCGATGGCTATTGGCCGGTGATTGGTATATGGTCGAATGGTTCCTCCACAATGTGAATTGCGGATGCAGCAAAAATAAGTCTTATAAAAAGTACCTCATAAAGTATCAACGATTTGTAAAAAGTGTATAATAATATGTGGAAATCGAATGCACAGTAGGCAATTGTAGGCTGTAGCTGTGCACGGACGAGGGACACAAATAATATTGTTTATTATAGGAAACGCGTTGTTGCCTTAAAAAATAAGAAGACGTCACATACTTACACGGCTTAATAAGATGTTTTTTACAAGTAAGATATTATACTAATAATATAGAGTTATAGGAAGTATAATAACGAATTTGAAATTTGACTTTTGAGTATGGCACTAACGTTGAATTAGAAATAATTTGAAATTAACATTCTTTGGTATTATTCTACTATACTTATTTTTGTTACACACTTACACCACGGTATATTTTATGTTCTATAAGTTTACATTAATTATAATGGTTCTCCATAAGAGTATAGACTATAGAAGGTATATCTTTTATAATTATTTTGAAAATGTCGAATTTTTCATCATTTGCCTACATAAAGCCCCTTAAAAATTAAAAATAGATCTTATATCCAAGGCTGGGCAAGTTAACGATTTTTTTTAACTCGTTAAGTTAAGTTATTTTAAAATAATAAAGTTAAGTTAAATTAAAAGTTAATCATATTTTTTACGTTAACTCGTTAAGTTAAAAGTTAACTTTGAAAAAAAAGTAACTTAACTTAGTTTAAAGTTAAAATTTTCTATTTTGCAAAAATAATAAATTGCACACATAATATTAGTTTTTTTACACTCAAGAAAAATACTAGGGAAATTTTTTAAATGAGACATAAAAGTATTAACTAGCTATCAAAAAACCTACTTTTCCAAAATAAATCTTAGTCCTGAACTCATACTCAAATCAATTTACCCAAGTGGTACATCAAAAAAAAAAAAAAAAAACACCTTAATAGTTTTCTCCCAACTGCCAAGATACCAATATTAGATTCTGAGTGAAACGATGAATGTATTGATTTTACAATGATGTGTGTTTTTTTATTTTTTTTTTTATTTTTTTTTTTATTTTTTTTTATTTTTTTATTTTTGTGTCTGTCATCACGTTTTAGGACAGTAAAAGTGCTTGGATTTTCTTCATCAGTAGCTTTTCTGATAGGAAAGTGAATCTAGTTGGTACTTTGGGGGGTCAAAAGTATAAATTTCCCAGTAGTTTTCACAAGCGCCGGGAAAAACAACATAAAAATTAAGGAAAAACGGGAATTTTTACGCAAAATTGGTTTTCCAAAAAATCGATTTTGGTTTTTGGTGTAACTCTGAAACAAATGAACGTATATACATGAAATTTTCACTGGTTGTTTATATTTGCATTTTCTATACACGATAACATTTTCAAAATATTTTGATTTATTTTGAACTGTTTAGGGACATTTTCATTTTCCTTTTTTTTTAGTTTTTTTTCTAAAAATATCAATAAAATTTTATTTGTTGGTTGCGAAAGCTTGAAAATTTAATAGAAGGCTCCTAATATATTGCTTCAAAGGCAAATGAAAAATATTAAAAATCCTTAGTCACAATTTTTTTTTATAAGCATTTAAAGTTCAAAAATTGACAAAATATGGGAAAATCACGAAAATTAGCAAATTATTTTGAGTTAAGAATTCGTAAAAATTTTTCTTTTTAAATCTAAGATTTGAAAATTAAACACAAGATTCCTTATAAGTTTGTCTACCTTTATCAAAAGAAAAATGTTTATAAGAAAGTCAAATTAAATTTTTATGAGCGTTTGAAATTCAAATTTTTACAACATTGAATATTCACTCGATTTCCCATGTAGCGATTTCCTTATTTTGTTGTAATTCAAAAACAAATAACTGTAGATACATGAAAATTTCACTGAATGTTTAAATTAGCATTTTCTATACACCATACAATTTTGAAAATATTTTGACTCTTTTTGAGCTGTTTATGGACATTTACAGCTTTCAATTTTTTTTAGTTTTTTTTTCTATAAATATCAATAAAGTTTTATCTGTTGGGCCAAAAAGTGTAAAAATTTAATACAAGGCTCCTGATATATTGTTATAATATCAGTTGAAAAATATTAAAAATACATAGGCACAGTTTTTTTTTATAAGCATTTAAAGATCAAATTTTGACAAAATTTATCAAAATCTCGAAAATTATCAATCATTGTAATTAATAAATTATAAAATGTTCAGTTTTTATAGCTAAGGATTGCAAATTCAACACAAAGGTTCTCGTAAATAGTTCATACTGTAACCAAAAAATCTAAAAAATATATGAACACAGTTATTTTTTACAGACATTTTAAATTCAAATTTGGACGAAATTTCATATTAAAAACCTAGAATAACTATTTTAGTTATTTTGTTGTGATTGAATAATATTATTCGTGGATACTTGAAACTTCTAAAGTGTACTTTTATATATCTATGATAGTATCACGGTTTTTGTTGATGTATAACGCGTTATAAGTACCTAATGGATATTTTGATATGATTAATTTGGAATTTATTATAGGTACCCATTATAGGTCAATTTTTGTTTAATACCATAGATATGTATATAATATGTCTTATACATAGACTGACATACCGTCTGCGCTCAGAATCGTTTTTCTTATACAATGATATTATATCGTTGAATTCAAATTTAATATCATCCATTATACAGTGACCCACTTGTAACCTACTGTACAGCAGAGCGACACCCACTTGCCCACCTTTTTTTAATTGATTCACATAAATTTTAAAAATCAAACAGGCAGTACCTACCACCCAAATATATTTTCTATACTGAGGACAAAATGCAGCCACCGTGTAGTTTTAAAACCTAAGCTCAGCACAACATGAACAATTATTATCAGTAAACTTATTAATAACTTACTTATTAGTTGTCTTTATTATAGGCTTCACCAATAACATGTCACAACAATTATTTATTAAATTCCGCATTTTATATGTGTTGTGACTTGTTATAATGCCGGTAATAAATTATTGTTGAACCAAATTCGGACTAGCCGATTATAATTGCATTTATTTAATAATGGAAAAACGTTCACGACAACATTCGACATCCACTTCAGGGAACCCATTTAAACGATAATCTGTATAACCTATCTTTGAAAATATTATTAATACAATTTATAATGATAAACGTGTAGGTAGATATTATATAGCCCATATAATGACTATTAAAGTTATTTTTCATATTATTTTCGTCTACAGGAAATTCATATTAAAATAGTAAATCATAAAATATACTAAAAACCTCATTAATAATTTGCATTTTTCTTTGCACTAAAATTAACTTAATTTAGATAATTTTAAATAAAATTAACTTAAAGTTAACACGTTAATCTTAAAAAAAAGTAACTTATTAAGTTAAAAGTTAATTTGTAAAAAAAGTAACGAGTTAATTAACTTAATTAAAATTAACTTAACGTTTTAACTTAATTTTAACTTTTAACTCGTTAATGCCCAGACTTGCTTATATCAGTGTAAGTGTGTAACTGTATATTACATAGTTAAGTATCTGCTAGTGAATCATCTATTCTCAATCAATACTCATTAAAATAAAGTTTGTTTTTATTACTAATTACTACTGTTCAATTAATATTAAAATATTTTAATGATTCCAGCGTATAGCAAAATATTGCTTTAATTATAAAAAGTAGAAAAATAATAATCATAATTAATAATATCTAATATTATATCAGTAGGTATATTATATTATATTCTTTTAATCTATATTATGTAGAAGTACCATCGGGTATATTTGTGAAAGTTATAAGAATCAATTGTTGATTTTATTTTAATGAGTTGTTTTTGTGTAGAGGTTATATTAATTATATGTTATTTACTATTTAGTATTTACGTACTAATACATATTTTATGTAGACGAATTTGGACGTATATTCGATGTGTGCCTAGTGTTCATGTTCGACTGTTAAAATAATTGAAAAAGACGATAATATTGTCGGACAAGATACATTGAGATTTTTTGATTCGAACAGGATCATTAAGGGATAGTTGATACTTCCTAATTCTCCAATATAATATATCTCAAAATAATAACAATAATATTTATAAAATCGTGTAACTATTAATATGTTGGTGCTGTGGAGATACTATAAACAAGTAGAAATCTTAGGTACCTAAATGTTTAAATTAATTAAAGTTTGAAACTCAGCATTAGTTTTTTGATCAAGCGTACCCTCCTATGTATAAGTATAATAACAGTAAATAAGAACAAATTAAATTATTTGCTTACACTTGTCAATTTTATATCTTTGATGTTATAATATCCTTAAGTCAATGTTTACAATTAATGTAAATTACATATTATACCAAATAATTCATAATTAATAATTTTGTTGACATAAGCTAAAGGTATAGTTTCTCGAATTTGATTGTGTGTCAGCACCTTTTAATATAATAAATTATTATTGGTATACCTATGTATGATGTACATTCGTACATAGTAATTATAATTAGTAATGTTACTATTTTTTTTTTTTTTTTTTTTTTTAAATAATATTTACAATCAATACAGTAAGGT